AATGGTATAGATAAGAATAGAGAAATTATACATTGAGAAGAGTCTTGGTAATTTATATAATATTAATTAATGATATACCTAAGAGTAATGAAAAAAAATCGTAAATTATGATGAGCGCATAGTTAATTTGATAATGATAATATATAACGAGCTGATTGGGGGAAATGGAATTTGGATTATGGTGTAAGTTGTTTTTGTAGAATAGTGGTGAGAAGGGAAATGAGTGGATTTATTAGAGCGGAGAGTTCTGTGATAAACTTAGCTAACAAATTATTTTGTGATAAACTATTATTGGAATTGGTGATAGAGGCATAGGAAGCTTCGGGAATATGAGGAGGAATTTGGAGAGGGGGAGCATAGGAGCAGTATTCGGATTTAAGTAATTTGGTTTTTGTTGAATCGGCTGAGAACATTTCTTATGTTTGAGAAGTTCATTATATTTTGTTGCTTTGAGGTTAGCTTGGTTTTTGATAATATTTTTGTACACGGGACAACCCTTGTAGGAGGCTTATGTGTGGTCCTGAGTATAATGGGAGTGGAAGGTGATTTTGAGCATTCGGAGGAGATGTGGTTATCTCCGCATTTGACGCAACGAGGGTTATGATGACAAAAGTTACTTGTATGAAAGTAAGCTTGGCATGACTTGCATTGAGGAGGGGCACGTTTTTTTTTTTTGGAAGTTCAATTTTAATTTTGGTGTGTAACAGCGAGTCAATATTTAGAATGTCGCTATTATTATTGGTTGCAGGTTTTAGATCGATACGAAAAAGAGGCAATGCCTTTKTGTTGATACGGTGTAAAATGTTTGTGACCTGAATTACTTCATGGCCATTATCTGTGATGWAGGCTTGTATGTCTTCAACGGGCGTAGACGGGTGGAGGTGTCTGATAAATACACTGTACGGTTTTAATGGCTTGGGAAAGTGAGTATGGAATTTGAACTGCTCGTTATCGGCTAGGTATTTAAAAATAGTGTTCCARGCAACTACGGTGCCGGCGTGGATAATCAGAAATTTAGGAGTCGATTTAAATAGAATGCTCGACGATTCAGTTATATCAAATATAGCGTTTTTGAGCGTGGAAATTTCATCCCCTTCACTTACGTAAAARGGAGGTGTCTGAACTTTAGTCGGAGAGGGTGACTTCATGTTGGCCGGCGATAAATTAAGCTGATCCTGAGATGACAATTTGACGGGCAGAGGGCTGAACACCTCCGGAGGAGAATCGACATCTTCGGAGAGAGATGCAAATCTGTTGGGTGTAACAAATATTTTGCTTTTTTTTTTGCTGTCTTTGGTAGACGATGATGATAGATTACGTTTTGAGGTATTACGGGAACACCTGTAATATTGGTGCCTTACGAAACAAAAATATATAGGTAGYCCAAGACAATAATATGTGCATAAAGCTTATGTTCTACAGCTTTACAACATTTAAAATTAAATTAATTTTAACGGCTTAGGAGTTAGGAGCATTTATCATTTATGTATTTTTTTAAACCAATTAAATTTTGTAGAATAACTTAAGGTGAAGACGATGAAGTACTAAATAATTTTACTACCAGGTATGTTGGTTTGTGACTCTGTCTCTGTCTCTGTCTC